ATGCTTATACTTTTCAGAGGTCCGATATTCTATGTACAATCCTTGTTGTATTGATTGAATGTAATATTCTAAATTTCTGAGATTGTGGATTGGCTGTAAGCCATAATCATCAAAATTATGACAAATCACTCCATGAACTATCTTGCTTTGCATGTAATGAGTCTATCTCATATATTAGTTTCACCTTTTAAGTTGCATTACTGAAATAAATGAACTTTTGCATAATATTCTAATTTTTCGAGTTTCACCATATAGATAGATGATAGATAGATAGATAAGATAGATACGGAGGGAGGGAGGGAGGGAGACACACACACAGACACCAATATTGTGGAAGATCACTAATAATTTAGATATGTAATTTAGCAATCATCATAAGAGGGTTGTAAAATATTGCAATACCTTATAGTACCAATCTTGAAATTTTCTGCAACACTCTTCACTACAGAAATCTCTTACTACTCCATCAAGTTCCTTTGATGCTCCCTTTTTACAGAGTTGAGAACAAAAATTGCAAGTAACACAGCGTAATCCTAACCGCCTTGCAAAATCTTGTTTATAGAGCAGCTTGCAACCTGGAAAAAAGGAAGCAGCTTAGATGATTTGCCAAAATTACGGGCCACTGCAGATCCGTTTCTTAGTTGGAATTTTTACATTTAGTTTCGTAACTATTACAAGGTTCTCTTGCAAATGGTGATACCATTTTGAGAAAGAATTTTAGCCACTCCTCAAGTCAATAATCATCAACCTTTTTTATTTATTATATATGGTTTGCACATTCAACTTTGAGGTCCTTGTTATCTTTAGATTCAATTATAGGCAATGCTTGAATTAGAACCAGTTGCTTAGCGACCATATGAAGCCACAACAGACCTCCCTGAGAGTACTTACTACCTGGATTTTAAATTCAATGGCCATTTGAGGTATCACCTGGTCACACTATTGTGTTTTATGGCATTGGTTTGCTTAATGGCAATGGCATTCACTTAACAACTGCTGCAAAAAATATGATAAAATCAGTAAGTCACAAGCCTGCCCCTTATAGTCATTACTCAAGGACTTCCTGCACTATACGTATATATTCACTTATATCCAGGTTAAAAAAAGGGGGCCATGGATACATTCAGCTATATATTTATTTTAAACCCCTTAGAGCTATTTGGCTCTAAATGAACAAATTATAGCACCATTACTACAAGAAACAAAATATTGTAGTATTTTTCATGTACAAATAGTTCTATTGTTTCCAATGAGGTTGATATCAATCTTTTTTTTTACACTGAATCTTCTGGTGGTATAGCAAAAGAGGAAAAACACTCACTCAACGGGAATTGGAAAGGTGTTCAAGATTATTGTTTCATTTTCTAAGCAGTTATAGACTTAAATCAGGATTATCTAAGCAGTATACTGTGCTTCCCCCCAAAATAAGACAGGGTCTTGGCCTTATTTTCAGGGAGATCTTATTATTTTTTAGGTGCAGGAGGTGGCAAGTGTGGTCACCTCAGGGCTACTGCTGTGCTGCAATTTTGGGGGGAAGGGCTTATTTTAGCGCATGCGCTCAAAAGCTTAATTGGGCTTATTATCTGAGGAAGGTCTTATTTTCAGGGAAACAGAATATAATCTACCCTGCTTTGAAATAAGTACTCGAGGAAATCTCATTTCTACTCATTGCAGCATAAAATATATGAGCTATTAAATCACTATATACAGCCCCAAATCCAACAGAAAGCAGAAATAATGGGCAGCAACATGAGGTTGCTGCAAATTATGTACAAAATCTGATGTTTCACAATGCAAACTCTAATTTCTCCTTTGGGCCATACCAACATAACTTTTGAAAAGGGGGTTCACTGATTTCCCATAAATTACGCTTACTTCAGGCAGTTATAATTGTTTATAGATAATAATCCATCTAAACCTATTTTTCCTGTCCCATCATAACCCTGTGCATGTGAGTGTAGGGCATTCTCCAGGATGCTTCTGTTGCCTATAATGGTGACTACATTTATATTTATATTTATATTTATTTATTTATTTATTGTTGGCTGACTCAGCCTTTCATCCTTCCGAGGCCGGTAAAATGAGGACCCAAATTGTTAGGGGCAATATGCTGACTCTGTAAACAGCTTAGAGAGGGCTGTAAAGCACTGTAAAGCACTGTAAAGCGGTATATAAGTCTAAGTGCTATTGCTATACCATCCCAGTCAAATGATTATCCAACCTATTTCTGAAAACCTCTAGTGATGAAGCACCCACAATTCCAGGAGGCTGTTGATTAATTGTTCTCACTGTCAGAAAAGTTACCCTTATTTCTAGATTGGATCACCCATTACTTCTTGTCCTGCCCTCTGGTGTTTTGGAGACTAAGTCAATCCCCTCTTCTCTGTGACAGCGCGTCAAACTCTGGAAGACAGTTATCATGTCCCCCCACCCAATCCTTCTCTTCATTAGCAATAGCACTTAGACTTATATACCGCTACACAATACTTTACAACCCTTTCCTAGGCTAGCTCGCCCAACCATTCATCAAACAATTTGTCTTTGTCGCTCTCCTCTGCACATTATCTAAGATAGGTCTGTCAAACTCCCGCCCTGTGAGCCAGATACGTCATGCGCTGCCCACACCCACTTTAGTGAAGGGGGGGGGTCAGGGAGTTCTGATATATCATGTGACGACGCTGTGACGCCATGAGTTTCATACCCCTGATCTAAGATCTCTGCATCTTTTTAGTATTATGGTGACCAGAAATGTACATAGTATTGCAGCTTGGTCCCATTAGTACTTATGAGGAAACAATTGACAAACACTGACTTCAATTTAAAGTAAATGACATTTCATCCCTTACACATGAACTGGACTCCAAACACTTACTTGCTAATCTTGCTGGATCCTTGTGGTTATGGATTAGGTTGAGACAGTCTGAGATAGTTTCTATTTTAAATAATCTGTCTTGTTGTTATTAATTTTTGGTTTTACTTTATACTGAGTTTTCAATTTTATTATCGTATGCTGCCATTGAGGTGCATGATTCACCAATAGAGAAGTGTAATAAATAATTCTGCACAACTCTTTTTGCTTGTTTGTTTACTTATTATACTTCTACATGACTATACTGGCAATCATATATTCAACATACCTTCACTACAGAATGGTCTCTTGATACCAGAAAATTTTACCGTTTCATGCAAAGTCTTCTCCTCTTGACAGTATTCACAGTACGTTACTATACAATGCAGCTTCTTATAGTCATCGGAACAAATTTTACTGCAAAACTGGTACACTTTGTTCTAGTTAAAGAAACAGAAATACCGCAGTAGACAATCTGGTAAGTAACAAGCAGATTTTACATAAATAAATAGCAAAATGGTAGAGAGTAAGGAAGATGACACGGACAAGACAGTTACCACAACCTTGTGGTAAGATTTATATCAGTCCCACTAAGTAGGCCAAAAAGAAATCAGATGCTCCACAGAAAGGCTATGACTATTTTTATCGTTGCAATAACAAGAGAACTTTGCAAGTCTGATTGTACTGTAACCCCTCCCTTTGTGAACTAAGGGGAGGGGGCTGCTTCTGCGTATTTTTTGCTTGTTTTTCTTTTCATTGATTTGATAACGGATCTCACGGATCTGCATCATTACCCTCAATGAAAAAAAAATTCATTTTACCCCCAAAAATGAATTAGTTATTTACCCATAACTATTACATTTTGGCAGGTTATCTGTGAATTCCCACAAATAGACTCTGTACCTATGTTAAATAAGTTCAGAACCTTACGGAGCTTAAGAACTTTGGTGGGAACATACTTCTCTGCCTATAATAAATATTCTTGGTTTGTAGTTTATGTTTATTGTTCAGATTCCTGAGTCTGTCAACCAAGTGCAAAACAAATCAAAATAAAACCGTAGAAGGGCAGAAAGATGGAGAATGGGAAGCAAAGAAATATAATCACCAGTGAATAACCACTATTTCTTCATTACAGTGTCTGCATTTCACAAAAGAAGTGAATCAGAGGTGGGTTGCTCCTGGTTCGGACCGGATCGGGCGAACCAGTAATGGCGGCAGTGAGAGGCTCCGCCCAACCATCTGGACGCTTCTGCGCACGCGTAGAAGTGGTGCGCATGGGCGAGCACACACGAGTGTGCGCACACGCACGAGCGAACTGGTAGTAAAAAAAAAAATGGAAACCCACCACTAGAGGGAATAGTAGCAGATGGGAACTTTCAGGCAGCAGTGGATAAAATAATCATTCCATTGAATCTCCTAGAAACTTCCTGCCGTTTTTGGACTTGGCTTGGACTAGGATGATCACATTTTCCCAAATGAAACTATGGTTAAATCTGTCTATATGTTGTGAAATTAAAGAATTTTCATTATATCTTCTAAATGCTAGTTGGTGTTTACAGGCACTGCAGTGTGCTTAATTATATTGATTTTTTTTCCTGGTTGATATCAGTGGCTTCAGAGCCAAAGGTCTGTGCTAGGAACCTATTATTATCTGGGAAATGGGTGAAGAAAAACATCTTTTCCCAAAGGAAATGATGATATTTGTGCAACCTTGTTAATTAAAGGTCCTCAAAGAAAGGATTCTTCCATTATTTATTCACCAAGCCGAATGCTGCCTACACTGACACATAGACTAAACATGTCTACTGTGATGGAATTAAAAGGGGATTCTGGGACAGGAGAGACAACTGATTGTCATCCAGTATAAATTATCAACATGCTATATGGGACTACAGTAGCAGCTGCATTAAGAGTATCGGAGTCCAAAGACAAGCAACCTGGCATATCCAGTAACGCCACTGTCAAGTTATAATCAATCTTGCAAATTACATCTAAGATCTTGGGCACTGTGTCTTTCATGTGGCAAATTAAATGCCTTTAATTCTTGCTCACAATGGATCCCCAGGAAGCAATGGGATCTGCCTCGCAGTGCTTGCAAAATTCTCCTCTCCTTGAGCAACAAGTGATGGTTTTGCCTGGCTGATGAGGGATGTTTACTACTGCAATTATGAACATTAGCAACAACATCTGTTTTATCAACTAACACCAGGATGCAGATGATTCTCAGGTGTACACTGTTACACTGGATGATACCAGAGCTGCTATTGTAAGCTTGAACTAGTGCCTGGTATCCATCAAGCCTCTAGACGTGACGAAGTAAGCCGAAAATCAATCTCTCCAAAATTGAGATGCTCTTCATCAATAAATATCAAAAATATCATTCCCAGCAGTTATTTTGGATCAAGTTGTGTTTCCTTTGAAGCAGTTGGTGTATGACTTTTTTAAAAAAGACCTATGGTGTAGTAAGCACATCAAGTACTGCCTTGCCAGAATGAATCTGTCCATCTGACGAAAAAAGCCTTTGAAAGGCCTGTTAGAAAGCTCTCCTCTAAATGAAGAACGGTAACGTGAGCATCAGTAAGATGACAGACATTTGCTGTAGCCCAGTGGAGGGATTCAGCCAGTTCACACCTATTCGGGAGAACCGATTGGTAACTTTCTAACCAGTTCGGAGAACCAGTTGTTGGAAGAAATCTTTTGTTTTTTCCCACTTTACAGGACTAATCCTGTAAGGAAGGCAGGAAGGAAACATTCTGGTGATGTTCCTAGCCTAATCTTTATTGCCCTGCTTACAGAAACTCTCTCCAGTTAACCCTCATTACATTGTAACAGCTAAGGTGAAGCGCCCATCGACCTGAGTGACCTTGAGTTGGCCACACCCACCCGGTCACATGACCACTGAGCCCCACCACCCAGATGGTCATTAGGGCAGAGAACCGGTTGTTAAATTATTTGAATCCCACCACTGCTGTAGCCCCATACTTTAGAACATTCTATCTCCAGATTTCATAAAGCATCCTCTCCTGATGTTTTAGAAGACCATCACTTTTATAAGGTTTTTTTTAAAAAAAAAAACTTGACCTTTCACTATCCATCTTCAGGAGTTTGATTTGGTATTACTGATGTTGTTGATGTGTTTGATTTCTTTCTATTGATGGCTGTGTGATTTTGATGTATTACAACTCCAAAGTCCTCAATTGGATGAAAAATAAATACAAACAAAAAAGAAATACACTACTGCTTTGGTATGAAACAGTAACTGGAAGTTGAATGAAGGGACATATCTAAGAGGAGCATTAAAGGAACAGGTATTTTGCAGTGGTGGGATTCAAATAATTTAACAACTGGTTCTCTGCCCTAATGACCAGCTGGGTAGGCGTGGCTCGGGGGGTCATGTGACTGGGTGGGCATGGCCAACTCAATGTCACTCACCTTAGCTGTTACAATGTAATAAGGGTTATCCGGAGAGGCAATTTCTGTAAGTAGGGCAATAAAGATTAGGCTAGAAACAACACCAGAATGTTTCTTTCCTGCCTTCCTTACAGGATAACCCCTCTAAAGTGGGGAAAAAACCAAAATGAGGTTTCTTCCAATAACTGGTTCTCTGAACTGCATAGAAAGTTAACAACCAGTTCTCCCGAATACTTGCGAACTGGCTGAATCCCACCACTTGTCTTTTGTCTAAATTCTTGAACCTTGGAAGGTTCTTAATCTGCTCTGCATACATGTAGAAACACAATGATGTGAATAATTACAATAAGTATCACAATGAAGTTATTATCGCTGCAAATGAGAACTGACTCCTTTTTATGGCTGGATTATTCCTGATGGATTGGAAAAACCTATAAACCCCTGTAAATTAATAATTTTGCTTGGTTTCTGTGACCTGAGGATCTAATCAGACTAGGGGCACAAATGGCAGCTACAAGAAAGAGAAAAATAGGAAATGGTCCGTGCATTAATTAATGCTAAAAGCATTAATTAAAACAACCATGGATAAAATATGAAATATTAAAGAATGATGTATATTATTTATCAAGATGAACAATTAAAATCAATTAATTTGCTTACACTTAAAAAAAATTGCGCTATCATTTACTTACTTCCCATTCCAGTACTTCAGGTTTTGAACAGAAAGTATTTTTACAATAATTGCATTTCAACTGAATATCACTTGGAGCCACAAACTGGCCATTGGTTGAAGAAGGTACATTAAGAGTCTGAAAAAAAATGTTTAAGATACATAATTTATTCCAGGACAACAACAATTTGCTATTACTTAAGAATTAGTGCCCAAATTAATGTTCATTAGTTTCTTTGCACATTTAATTTCATTACTCTAAAAAGGATAATCCACTGAACTTCTAAATTATCCTCTATTATTAATGCATCTATGCCAGGGGTGGGTTTCAACCGGTTCGCGGCAGTCCCTGCGAACCGGTTAGTCGGCGACCCCGGAAGTAAGTAACTTCCGGGAACGGCGACTGGCCCACCCGCCGGCCCTCCTTACCCGGTTTTGACGAGTTCTGCG